ACTTTGCTTCTTAATATTAAATTAGAAATGAAGCCCAAATGAGATATATATATCACATTTTACTTTTTGATAACCTGCTCCTTAAGGTAGTGTTAAAGGTTTGTTAATATTGAAGAACAAAGTTGCAGTTAAAATAATATATTTTGCCTTCAGATTGTGGCATTAAACATTTTCCTGAAGAGCCCCTTTAAAACAAATTGGACACTCTCAGTAAAAGGCATTTTTGAATTCCACATTGTAGGATTGGTATCATACCATAATAGTCATTCTCATGATGAGACTTGATGGCTAACCTGCCAGAAAATAGCTGACTTTTTTTGGCTTTCTTCCTCCATTTTTCACCCGCCCCCCTATGCTCTTTATAATAAATTTAAATAGAGAAAAAAAAAATCACACATTTTTGACAAGTAGGAACTGAGGTCAGAACCARCCCTCATCTCCTTCCCAGCTTTCATCTGCCTGAAGCAACATGGCTTGTTTCATCTCATACCTAGGAAACAAGCCAAATGGAGCATGCCCTCTGTAAGAGCTGCCTCCCATACGAAGAGCCTGTCTTTTCTGAAGGACATGCTCCTCCTCCCCTTCTCCTCAACTCAAAATTACTTTTATAAGGTTCTCAAAGAAAATTGAAAAATTGTAAGACTCCACTATATATCACTTTTTTTTAGTAAAAGGACATAAAATTTGGACTGTTCAGGACTAAAATGTGGTGAAACAATAATCTTTCCTCTGTAACAGGAAAAGGCCATAACTGCAGTGCTAGTATGAAATGGGCAACTTCATTAAGAATTTGCCTGTGCTATGAACAGAAGCGCATTAAGCCTCAAAAAGGTTAAGTTATTCATAAAGAAGTCAAAATGGAAAGTGCCATTTAGCTTTACAAGTCAAAGAGGTGTGGGTGGGGTTTGGCTTAGGTTTTGGGGTTTTTTCAGGTTGAAATTGTTTTGCTGACTTCACAAAAGTGGAAAAGAAGATGTAATTTGTACCTTGTGCACACATTTCAGCCAACCTGTTGCACTAACCTGCATTTCAGGTGTGTAGTAAAACTATAATCTCACTGCTCTCTGAACGAACTCAGCTCTGCTCACAAAAGGTAAATGATTGGTAGAAAAGGGTGAAATGGACTWATTACTCTGACAACTACTTTGCTGCCTGTAGACAAAAAGCTGTCTAAACAAAAACATGTGAACAACATTCTTGAAACAGCAGGGTAGAGCTTTCTGTCTGATAATTTCTTAGTTGTTTAAATTAGTCCTGAGGAATGTGACTGCTGTAAACACACCTTAGCATGTGCGCACAAAATACTAAGTGAAAAGAAATAGATTTTGAATGTATTCCAAATATTCACACATTTTTCTTGGGTTTTTGAGGTTTTTTGTTGCTTTGTTTTGCTTTTTTTTTTTTTTTTTTTTTTTTTTTTTTTTTTTTTTTTTTTTTTTTTTTTTTTTTTTTTTTTCTTCTGGAGAGATGCTTTTTTTATATCCCATTGGCTACTTTTTATGTCAGAGATAATAGATGAATTTCCAGGGAAGAGGGGTTCACAGGAACCACAAAGCGGGACACAGGGAATTCTCCTGTACAGTGTGGCCTGGGAGTTTTAGTAGTAGTTGACTTATCACTTTAATGTCTGGAAACCGAACATCAGTGGGACAAAATTGAGAAGAAAAATAAATCCATGTGAAAGTTGCTTCTGCTAGAATAAAAAATAGTTTTTGGAGAAAATTTGCCTAATCTCTATTCACAAAGACTCTTAAAAGCAGACTGAAAGAAAGCGAACAAACTTCAAATATTCTGCTTGTAAAAAATACTTTTCTAGCTGGAAGATGCTTATATTTTCTTTAACTCTGGTACAGCTTGGTGAACAATAAAAATTAAGTGGCTTGAATAATATATTTAGAGGGAAGAAAACCATACCATTCGTTAAAATTTGTCATCTTCATTGAAGCTCAAATTAACMAAGGCATCATTATTTAGGAATGTATTTACATTTGTATTTAAGTTTATACTTGTTTTGAGACAGAGGAATTACAAACTCTGTGGTTTTGCTTAACTTCATGCATTTAGAGCTAATTCTAACATATTACTGCCCAAAGGCCATTGTGAATTATGTTTCAAAAGTGGGCAAACTTCTGTCTTCCCAATTCCTGTAAGTAGTACCAAAAATTAACCAGAGTATCAATGTTGAGCAAGTGATTAATCAAGTTAATTCCAACAGCATATGCTCATGAACCCATTACCCAAATCATGGTAAAGTCTGCAGTGAGAATCAGGTGCTCCACTGGTTTGGAGCTGGCATCTTCTAGTGTCAAGAGAATTTAAATCTAGACTAGTTTAGTTTGCTTGAGGGTTTTTGCAAAGGTAAGTGGTGGTATTTGGACATTTTCCCTGGCCTATCTGTATCAGAAAAGCCAGCATGAGAAGTATTCCAAAGGATGAAAATCTTTCACTTTCACTTAGACTTTCCCATAACTTCTTACACCATTGATTCAGTTAAATATTATTGCCTGTATGTTATCTATTCCTTAAAGAAAATTATTCCAATTTCCAGGACATCAATAAACACTGGAGGTTTTGATCAGTATTAAAATGCACACACACATATTTAGAATACACATGCCCTGAAAAGTGCACAAAACACAGCTGTTGCTGCTAAGAAGGTCCAGACACCTGTTATCACAGAAATAAAGTGCCTCAAAAACTTTAAAGATGTAATTTCTTGAACACTAATAGTAAAAACATCCCTCTTGAATAATGTCTTTACACCTTTCTGCATTATTTAATATAAATGGAGATACCTGACACTGAAAGGATTTATTTAAAATTATCCCTAATCTATAACAGCAATTCAAGGTGAAATCAAGGATATAAATGCAGCTTTCCCACAGGTGTAAGATATGGAAAACAGGTTTACACTACATCTTTATCTTCCATTTGTTTTTCCATCCAGGTTTAAACATTTTAATAATGCACTCACCATAAAAATCCTTCATTCTTCCAGTAGTTAACCGAGARAACACATCTTACAAGGGTGATTCTGGATCTCAGTCTCTTTAGGGCTGTCATTTAAACAAGATACCGAGGTCAGTTCAGGGGAAACTTGGTGAATTTAAGTTTTTTTTATAAGGAATATCAGAACAGATGGTTCATTGTCTCAGAAGATTTTAAATTTCTCTGTTCTACCTTTTCCATATTACACTGCAGTGTTTCATTTTTGCTTTGGAAGAGCTTTTTCTAGGGCTGATGGAGCAGTTCTATCCTCCATTCCAGTCAGGTCTGTTTCTGCTGCAGTAATGAGCAGAGATGCCAAAGAAGGCCTGTCGTGGCAGTTATTTTAAGTAGTCCATTCACTAAAATAAATATAGAATAACAATTCAGAGACCACAGAAGAGTCATCAGCTAGTGATGATTTACCAGAATAAAGTTCAATATATACAAACTGTTGACCTAGAAATGATTGTATAAGCCATTACTAATTTTCTGAGTCACCCAGTCAGATCTCCATTGGGTCTTAGATAATATCGTGTAGCTGAACTCAGTTCTGCTAACACAAAGCTATAGCAACTTCTCACCTAACAATTACTCATCCTCACTCTCTTGGGTGTAAATTTGATACGAAACATTCCTTGGTAGTTTCTGCCCCCACGCAGCCTACAAAACTTCTGTTCGGAGTGAACACTTAACGTCTTCAACATTTCTGTAGCCTTGAGGGAATAAACTTATTCAGATGAGCAGGACAAAAAGGCTTTTTCGTGCCCCAGTTCTTACTTCCCTTGAATTCTAAGCAGCCATCCATACAAATGTAGACTGTGATATGGATGTAAAGCAAGCCATCGTTTTACTGTGCTGCTTCTCACAGTGTAAATGACTACATAATGTGAGTACTGAAAGAGGCCCCGACAGCTACAAAGGGCAACCTGATACTGAGTACAAAGTTCATATTTTACTTCAGATAAGTGAATTATTTTCAGATATATAAAGCATTTGACCAGTCAGTGAGAGGTTATTGATGAAATTAAATGGAATCTTTTGTTTTGGATAAAGAAGCCATAGAGATTTAAAGTAAAAGAAAAAAAAATCTGAGCCTCAACTCCCTGCTTACTATGGTGATTAGCAAGCTGCATGTTTTCTTTCCTATCAAAAATGTATCATTTTTTTTTTCTCTGTAAGACTTTGAGCATCCGATTTTCTTTGCCTTTCTGGCCTTAAGCACATGTTCAGCTGATTGGTTACAAGAAATTCTTTTACAGTCTCTGGCTGGGTGCCACCTTCCAGCCTGCTTTTCCACATTCTTGAAATGATCAGTCTATTCCCCCTGTTTTGGGGGGATGAGGCTTCATGGTTCAATCACTTTTTAACTGAGTTTCCAGGAGCACAGAGAGTTTCCTTTTACCTGCCAAGGTACTGTTGCACGTACACATGCCTAATACCTTTCCTAAATATACTAATTATTCACTAACTAAAAAGCAATACCATTTTAGTTTCTTTGTAGTTTCTTTTCTTTCTGCTACACTAAACAATACTTTATGTTTATACATACATACATACATATATATACATGTATACATATATTTCTGTGTACATATATATTTATATAGGTGTGTGTATATATATGTCTTGTAATAATTTTCTTTATATATTAGCATTAGTTCAAGATTAAATAGGTTTGACTGAGTTTTGTTATTTTCTACATTCTTAATGACACAATAATAGCAAGGTCAATTTAGATACTGTCTCAGTCCATGCCAGTACACAGGAGTCTGGAATTGACATTTTTGGTCTTCCAGTTGGAAATTGTCAAATCACCGATTTCTGAATTATTCCATTAAGTTTGGTAAAAAGGTTTCCATACAGAAGGTGAATATTAGAAGGTGAATATTATTTCTTATTAGAAATATCCCCTTATATTTTAATTATCCAGACCATGGAGACGAAGTTTCAAGATCACTGCTTTGCCGGTGCTTGTCAGTTTTTTCTAATAAATTCTTTTGATTTATCTCCAGGTACTCAAAGAATATATCCCACAGAGATAAGGTGAGTGCTATTCCTATGTAAGCCATGGGAAATTTTACTGCATTATAAGTGTTTTCCATTCTATACAGACTATAGCATTGTAATTCTCCATAAAAAAATCTAAACTCTGAAAATATAGTATAGTTCTTTCCTTCCTGTAAGAAGGATCTTACATTTGACAACTGTATAATGGKTTTTTTCAGTATATAAGTCATGAGTAGATCAAGACTGTATCACTGACCTATGCATTTATTATGACCATTACATTATTTAACACTACATATGTTTTGGCATTCTCTTCACCAAATAAGATTAAAGTTTAATTCCTAAATCAGTGAGAAAAGCTTTTAATATGTGAGGCTAACATACAGTCAATCATGTTCAGAAAGATAAATCATCATATAARTTAACACAGCTTTATTATCCCTTTGTATATTTACATCTAAAATACATTATTAACTATTTTATTATGTGACAAAGCTGGCTCTGTGTTTTTCTAGTTCATCAGTGAAAATGCACTCTGAAAACCAGTCAAATAACTTACAACACTACTCTTAAAAATGTGCAGTAGACTGAAAGGCACAGTTACATGCAAAGTGTATTACCCAAGATGCAATCTAAAACCATAAAATGACAAGAGGGGGCTTATAGTTGAGAATGTAAATGAAAGACAGCTATATATACAATTTATACATGCATATAAATTCACGTACATGGCTATATATACACTTTACTATATGTAATGATGTCTGAATTCGTCTTAGATAAATACATTGGTYATGATACTGAAATAGTTTTATGGATGAGTTTATAATGAGGCCAGCCACAGGATTACATGAATGAAAGAAGGATCACCAATCACCAACCTAGAGTAATAAAACATTCTCTGTCAAAAGAGTTGCCAATTAGGCATGTACTTCCAATATTTAGTAGTAGGTTTTCTCAAGACTGTCTGTAATAAAACTGAAAGTTAGAATTGAAATTACAACAGATAAGAAACTTTAGAAAAACAGTGAAAACTGGTGAATTACAAGACCAGAATCAAACCTATTTTAAAGAGTGTTCAGTACACTCAGCCTTTTATGGAATCACATCCCTGATACTTTTGTGCCTGTTACCAATCTGTAAAATTAATTTTAATCTAATGATTCAAACTAGTAAAATAATAACAATGTTTCATGCATTTTGGATTTCATAACAAGAGTTTAAATATTGACCTACAATAAGATAATTCAAACATATATATAAAATTCTGTATTGCTGTCAGAAATACATTAGGCCATGTGCCTCTATGGAGCCACTCAGGCTTGGGAATCCGTAAAACACATAATCTTTCTGTGACATCTTTCAAATATGTTCTGGGACAAAGAAATCTTTGTTTGGGGCTGAGCATCTCTGTGTACAACACACATGATCACAGAAAAGGGTTTTTAATTGCATAAAAATGAAATTCAAATATTATAGTAGAAAATAATACTATTTGAATCCTTAGTCTGGTAAACAGATAAAATAAAACTTTTCATGCTAATTCCACCAGGAAATATAATTTTTAACCAGACTACTTTGGTGTCAAATCTCACAGAATTTGTTCAGAGGAAAGGATAAAAATCAAGAGGGGTTGCCAATTTTTACTGAAATAGAAACTCTAGATGAAAAAAAACCAAAAAAAAAAAAAAAAAACCAACCAAAAAAAAACACTACCAAAAACAACAAAAAAAAAAACCCCACAAAAAAACAACAAACCCAACCTCTTTTCGAATTATTTCACACTATAATTTTAAGGATCATCATGGTATTGACACACCAGTGAAAAGAACATACTTATTTTGAAATTTGTCTACAAGATGTAGTTTGCCTCCAAATCCTGTTGTGCAGGGGAGTTTATAGTACTAATGAAAATATAAGTGCAATAATGGTCTAGAGCTATGGTTACTACACATAGAATTTTGTGACTTAGCAACACCTACTAGTTAGTCAGTCTGGGTTTTTAATGTCTTTGAAGGAAAGAGGCAACCACCTGAATCACAAACATTTTTATATGTCTCCCAAAACACTTTTAACTCCAGAAAATTTCTGTATAATAGTTTATGCTTTTCAACTCCTTAATACTGATGAGAAGGGTTTTTTTCCTAACTTATTGCACCTTTAAGATACAGAGAAAGGGCTCATCAAGTGGAAAATTACCAAACAAAAACTTGCTACTTTTTTTGCAAGGTTGCAAATTTTGGGAGACTTACTAAGCATTATTTATATTACTACAGCAACATTCATAAGCACAGCAACATTCCTGTATATAAGCTCTATACATGACTCAGTTTCTTATGGCATGATTCTTCTTCTTTCCACACAGCTGTCTAGACAAGTAAGTGATGTGGATACACTTCTCAAATCATCATACTGCCACTGGAAGATGTAATGAAATCCTAGACAATGTAAGTAGAACAGTCAAGGCAAGTTAGACTAAATATTCCCCCCCCCCCCCCCCCCCCCCCCCAATAATGGAATTAGTAACACTGACTTTAAACTACAAGATCTACTATTCATACAAGACTTTGAGAAATACACAGAAGAGACTAAAGAAAATGTCATGAGGTATGCATAGAGAGGTCCAGCTATTGTCCTTACCAAAAAGAAGGTGCCTTATGCATGTTTAAAGACCTTAAGAAAAAACATACTAAATGATTAATCACTGAAAAGCAAAAGAAAGTTATTTACTGAAATTTGAAGACACACTGAAAATRGCAATAAGGCATAGGGTTATCTTTGGTTKTTKTTTTTTTTTTGTTTTGGGAGGGAGGATGAAGTGAACTACATTTTTTTTTAAAATAAGGTATATTCTAATTAAATACAATKTCATGTGATCACTGTTGGTAACAGTTTCATGAGTAACAGGTAGCTATTAACTTTAAGAATCCATTGATATATTGTAATACTTCACAATATTAACCCTAGGCCTGATATTATTATAGCAATTGAAGTAAAAATATCAAGAGTAGCAGAAAAAAAATCAGCCTTTCAAAGGGACTGAAAGAAAATACACTCTTATATTTAGGAGATTTTAGGGAAGGAGGACCTGGAAAGCATGAAAGTATTATGGTGAAATGAATGTAGTCTCCACTGAAGAGAATTATTGAAATAACCCCAACTTTACAATTCAGGACCTGAATTATCTAGTTTTGGATGGAGATAACATATCCCTTTGCTGGTACTTGGTTTGGAGCTGTATAATAAGGCCAGAAAAAATAGAGACAGTAAAAATCTAGTCTTGCAATCAGTGGGGAAGACAGGATCAGACACTGACACACTGAAATTATCTTGTTTCTGATATAGGGGAGATGTTCTGATTGCTGGCAAAACATGAGTCAGGCACTCCCAATTCCTCCTACTGTGCACACGCAGGGCATACACAAAACAAATGCTGGTTCTGTGATTTGCACCTTTGTTGCATCAACAGTAGCAAGTGATGGTTTCCCATCCATACTTGTCAGGGCAACAACACGGTGCTCACAGAGAGCAGAGGTGGGGAGACCCCATTTACCTGCACCAGCTGAGACTGGCTCATCTAGCACGGCCACAAAGACTGGGGGAGAATTTCCTGGGCAATGAAACAGGAGTCCAGTCAAGCTATTCCTCCTGGAGGCATCAAAATGTGTAGTCCAAATTTGTACAACTAAATACAACCACATACTTGGGGGAGAAACCCCAGCTTACTTGGTCACCTGTAAGGAGCAGGATTGCTCTACAAGAACATTTGTCATGAGATATCAAGAGCATCATCTGATGACAAAAACCTACCAATTGGTAGGAATTAACCAGCTGGAACAATTCCCTTGCCAAACAAGCTCAGCTGCAGCATCAGAGTCATATGAGGCCAGCAGAGCTGCTCTGGATAAGCATCTGTGCAAGRCTATTTTTAAATAGGATAGAACTAACAACATCTAGAGAAAATAATCTAAATTAGATTTCTCACTTGATTAGGAGATAGCTTTTTCTCCCTGCTATATATATGAAGATATATCTACCTTCCCCTGAGCTTTAAAACTTCTCTTCAATACTCAGTCTTAYAAGAGGATCTTTCAGGCATTGTCCAAGCCTTAATAGAAATCTCTTCGTTTCAACTTCAAGAAGCAGAATTTATTGAAACTGAACTGAGACAAGATGTTGTCTGGTGCTGTAGCTTTTTGTAATTGRTTATGGTTATGGTGTCTCCCAATTTATTTTTTCCTCCTTGATCCTGTATCACAAAAAGTACTTATTTCACAAAGTTGTTTGTGAGAAATTTTAAAACAGCAAAAATACAATGAAGTCTCTACAACAGACACCATCATGAGTACAATATATAATTAAATTGTGGAATCCACTGTTTCAAAACATTACTAGGGTGCATTCTTGGAATGGAATTCATATTGTTATGTATACTGTTAAATAAAAATAATTTTTTGCAGATACTTACAGGTACAAAACTACAGGGTTTGTCAGTAAATGTTCTCCAAAGCTGAAATAGGGTCAGAAGGAAATAATTTGATGAAGTCTTGGAATGATGTGAATAGCGAGGGCAGAAGTAGGAGAGAGCACATTAAACTTTTGGTTTCCACCATTATCCACAGCATTAGATACAGCTCTAAGACTGATAGTTCCCCTAAGACAATACTTATATCCTTAAAAAATAAAACTTTTAGAATTCATTCTCATAATGAGATAAGGAGACAGGTCATGACCTTTTTTAATTTGTGTGAAGAAAATATGTAATGTTAAGTAAATGGTTATCATTAGTTATTATTATTATTATTATTATTATTATTATTATTATTATTATTATTATTATTACTATTGTATTATTTGGTATTACAAGATCTTTCATAGACTGGTCGATTCAGTGTTAATTTTATACGAAAAGAATTTAAATACTACTTAAAAAGGTAAGTTAGTTTCATAATTAAAATGATTTTATTCTCATCATAAAAAAGATGTTTTAAATCTAAGTATGGGTGACATACTTTTACTCACAAAGGGTGTACTCTAGGCTGACAATTTCACCATTCATGATTTTCTCACATACAGCTCCTCAGTCTATAGCCTGTATGTCATCCTGCTGCTCTTACTTAGGAATTCCAAGTAGGAAACACCTCATTGTCAATATTATTTATATATTTCTTGTGGATTTGAAATGAGGTTTCTTTCATCAAAAATGTTATAATTTTTGTTAGTGTGTTTATTTGCCCTATGAAATAAATTGGATAAATATTAACTAGAATAACACTGTTAAACTTCTCCTTACCTTAATTCCATGAATTCCCTTATCTCTTGACGAACCTCCCAAACAATGTTGATAGCCCTGCCTGTCTGTGTCTAAGACTGCCACTGACCAGTCATTCATCTACTGAGGGTTGTAGTCTTTTMTATTGAATAAAGCTTTCAAACATAGGATTTCTAACCCATTATTCTACTCAATTAAGTTTATCAGATAGATGAAATCAAAAGACACTCATGCTTCCCAAGAATCTAGACTCCAATGGCCACTTTGTGACAGCAAGTGATCAAGCAATATCTTGAAGCATGGAATTTGATTATTCTCAAACGCAGAAGTAAACTGGTATAACACACCTAATATAATCAATGCAATAAACTACATTATCTATACTATGAGGTATATGCATAACCCTGAAGCAGAAAGGAGACATAGGAGCAAAAACTTTAATTTAGAATCAGTCTGATCATTGGCACATTGCAAAAGAACRGGATATGATTTTGGGGGACATTTGAAACACTAACTGCAATGTGAATCAGACCTTTCTTTGAACAGAAGTCAAGTATGTTTGTCACATATTTATTTATTATATGCAATTTAGAAACTTATTCCTCATTTTAAAAAAAAAAAACATCTTTTTCTCCAAGTATCTTAGTGACCAAAAATTCATACTAAGTGCCTCAAGCACATGACATTTCCATGTAGTAAAGGTCTCCTAAATACCTTTTCCAAACCTCCACCTGATAAAAAAATGCTGAATACGCTCAGTAGTTCCATGTTAAACCTTGTTAATAATGGTATGTCAGTAAAAACCACAATGATTAAAATACAGGCCCAGAAATGCTTTGCATTGGGAAATTTCTTCGAGTTCTAAGTCACAACTAAAATAATAGCTGGATTTTTAATAATCAAGTTGTACTCCTTAGTGAACAGGAGAATTATAAATAAATAATATATTGTACATTTTTATTTTTAATTTTATAAAGTAAGAAGAAATGAATCAAAGTAACTGGGCTACTTGTCCAAAATAAGGAAGGAATTTTTCCTGAGAACATAATGTAGAAAATCAGCAATAGCTTCATCACATCTCAAAGTCTCGGAGCTGAATCTCAACTTGGAAGCCTTTATCTTCTTTCTGTGTAATCATCTCTGGACAGTCCTGAATTTCTGCTTCTCTGAATCTATTTGAGTCCTCTGATTTCTCCCACAAACATATTCACCTCCCTACTCAAAATACTATCTTTCAAAGCTCCCAGACCACATAGTTTCAAGACCCCAGGAGCTTTTCATGTTGCTGTTTTAGTGGTCCTGTTCTATGTTTGGATGGGTTATTTGTTGTTGGGCTTTTGAGACTTTTTTTTTGTTATTGTTGTTTTGGGTTTTTATTGTGTTATTTATTTGGGTTTTTTTTTTTTTTTTTTTTTTTTTTTTTTTTTTTNAGCCTCCTTGTTTTTTCACAACTATCTAAAAGAAGATACCATTTGAATCTGCATTTGATATAGCTTAGAGTATTTATAGTACGATATCATCATGGACAAAAGGGGTTAACAGAGACCTGGGCAGGAATTTCTTGGTGCAGTTGAAATGCAATTTTTCTTTCTTCACCCACCACGTAAACAAAAAACAGCTTACAGCCTCCTTCTCATTCCAGTTTTGTAGGTTATGTCCTGAGCTGTTTCCTTGGCTCTCCTCAGCTGGGCTAGCAATCACTCAAGCAATGAGCTCACAAGTACTCATGGCTGAGAGCCTATTCCCTGCAGTTTACCCTTGTGCCTTCCAGACCACAGCTTTGTTCACGTGTCTGATTGGATGCTTGCTTTTTCAGCAACAGCATGTGTGCTTTTGACTCAGTTTGTGAACTACAGTATTTCCTTTTTCTGCTGATCTTGCACATGCCTGAAGGTTTTCAGATCTTATGTTTAGCAGCTGAATGTTTTCACCTAGATTTTTCCATGTAAAAGAGTTTAAAAAACATTTCAGATACTATCAGAGAAAACCTACTCTCCAAACCCAAGTATTTTCTAGAAGAAGACTGGAAATTGCTGTTTTTCTTACACTTCCTAAAATTAAATCCATCACTCATCTCAAGACTCACAAGTAAGAATTACTTGATTTATTGACAAAAAAAAAAAAAAAAAAAAAAAAAAAAAAAAAAAAAAAAAAAAAAAAAAAAAAAAAAAAAAAAAAAAGATTAAGTATTAAGGAACAATTATATATATGGCTTGTCCTACCTGACTGAACAGAGAAAATGCTTATCTCAGTCCCAATTTCTTAATAGGGACCCAGTCTTGGTCACTATGGATATCATATTAAACACCCAAACTGTCCACGCCTTGGTCAGAGCAAGTACCCTGTGGCAGTGACATCCACCTGCCTTTACATTAAGGCACTTTCAGGAGTGATAKTTTCACTTGTTACAGAATTGCTTATTGCTCAGTAATTCTCCACCTCTCCTGTCATAAAACCACAATTCATRTG